TCACTGTATAAGTAGGTCCCAGGAAGACCAACAACTGTGGACGAAAGTGCTTCTCTTTCTAGAATGGTCATAATTATGCAATGTCAACAAAAGCAACCTCCTGCCGACTCAGTGGCCCACACCTGCCATCCCAGTGGCGAGGGAGGCTGAGATAGGAGGATTGCAAGTTCAAAGCCAGCCTCAGCAATGGTGAGGCCCTAAGCAACTCAGTGAGACCCTGTCTCTAAATAAAATACAAAATAATGCTGGAATAGGCTCAGTGGTTGAGCGCCCCCTGAGTTCAATCTCTGGTACCAAAAAGCCAACCTCCTAACCGGCTGGCTGTTCTGCCAAGGGAGAAATCAGAGCCACCCAGAGGAGAAAGGGCTCCAGCAAACTCCACCTCCAGCACTTGCTCGGTGCATGCAAAGAGGCAAAGGCAGGTTTCTAGCTACCAGGCTCTTGCTTGGCATGTGCCGGCCACTGGTTCCATCTCCAGACCCAGAAACCAAACCAAACCAAACCCTCCTGGGGAGGCGCTCAAGAACCACGTGGGCAGGCTGACAGGATGTGTGTGCCTTTAAGATGGGGTCTCTTGTGGTGCCCAGGTTGGTCTCAAGGGATCCTCCCGCCTCAGGCTCCATAGTAGTTGGGACTCCAAGTGGCACATCATTGTCCCCAACTCCAATGTAACTTTTTTTTTTTTTTAATATTTATTTTTTAGAAGTAGTTGGACACAATACCTTTATTTTATTTATTTTTATGTGGTGCTGAGGATCGAACCCAGGGCCTCGCAGTGCTAGACGAGCACTCCACCGCTGAGCCCCAGCCCCTCTAATGTAACTTTCACCAAGGGGTGAGGAAAAGGACTGCAAAATACAGTGGTGACGGGAAACAGTGTAGGATTGGAAAGATCCAGCTTGTGGCTCACCCCCTTGACAGTCACTGAACCTCATCCTGTGACTAGCCTTGGTCCTCCCCCCGCTTGTCCCTGAATGCTGGCTGGAAGGAGGTCTCTGCTCCTTAGGGCTGTTATGAGGCTTCACAGAGAATGCCAGCAAGGACCAGCCCCCGGACCTAGCTGTTACTACTTAGCCGCTGGCCTTCACACCTTATTTATTTATTTAATATTGGGGATTCAGCCCAGGGGCCCTCACAAAGCCACACCCCAGCCTTTTTTATTTTATTTTTTTTATTTCAAACCTAGAAACAGGGCCTCACTGAGTTGCTCAGTGCCTTGCTAAGTGGCTGAGGCTGGCTTTGAACTCTCGATCCTCCTGCCTCAGCCTCCTGAGTCATGGGATTGCAGTGCCACGACACTCAGCTTCATACCTCATTTAAACTAACTTTGACAAGTAACATTTATGGAGCATTTACGGTGTACGAGGCACACTGAGTTTAAAGGAGAACTGAGTTTCAGGCTTCATTATAATTAATTATTACATTAATTCATGGGGGAGTCTTGGATCGGAACATTAGGACTTTCACCCATTACTGTCAGGACCCCCGAGAAAATGTCTCTCGTGGGAGGTTTTGCACAAGCCTGGCGCACACACGGTGCTCAGGGAAAGGGAGGCCCCTAACGTCAAGGGCAAGCCTTGCTGGTCATCCAGGAGGGTGGGAGGCTCAGCCTGAGTCAGCTTTGTCTACTCTGCGTTCAGCCACATCCCATGTTCCGCCACTTATCACATCCCTGCCCATTCCCAGTGACAACAGGCACCTGGCTGTCCTGGAATTACAGGAGGAAAGAGTCCTGTGTGAAGAGATTTACCTTACCAAGGCTCCCAATTCTGGAGCTTTTGACCCACTTCCCTGTGAGCCTTTGACGACTCAGCACACCCAGGTCTGCAGGACATCAGGGTCCTTGCGAGTGGGAGCAAGTTGCTCACCTCTGGGCCACCATGGGGGGGGGGGCAGGACCAGTGTCCCACAGTCCCCTTCAACACACGGCCACAATGACCTAAATAAACTGTGACACCAGGCCCCACCTCTTTGAAGTCCCACCAATCTCTCAAGAGTACCAAGATGGGGACCAAGTCTTTAATACACAGGTCTCTAGAAGGACACTTCAGATTCAAACTGTAACAACTATGGGAGCGAAAGAGCTTTCCGGTTCAGGTAATTAAAACAGAAAACTCGGGGCTGGGGCTGGAGAAAAGATAGCCTCTTCCACACACAGAGATGGGAAAACCGGAAATCCATCTGTAGCAAAAGGAAATTTAAACTCCTAACTCTCACCACGCACAAAACTCAACTCAAAGTGGATCAAAGCCTCAGGCAGAGAACAGAGACTGTGCACCTAACAGAAGAAAAAGTAGGCCCACATCTCGGCCGCGTTGGCTTAGGAACTGACTCCTTCACAACATCTCTCATCCTGAGCTAACTTCAAGGTCTTCCACATACGATCGATTTCATTTACTCAATTTTAAATTAAATTATTTTATCATTCCCAGCAAGTAATGGAGAACACACTACTTTTAAAGGTCTACAGCCCTTGACTGCTCTTTAAAACCTGAGACATCAGAACTCGCCTTCCCGACATCATGACCTCACTCTTCCCTGACGATGAACGAACATACAGTGTACTCCTCCCCAGCCCAACGCCTTTCCCCACAGTCCACAGGAGAACTTAAACACCTTTCAGTCATCTGTCAGGCCAGTGGATACAACAGACTACATGCTGGTTTCCTCTTTGAAAGTTTATTTTTAAAAAAAAGAAAAAAAAAAAAAAAACCTATACATTTTACATTCACTTCTCGGAACATTTAATGGTACCAGCTAATAATGTTTTATAAAAAGCCCACCAGCTGCTTGAAATGGCTGCAATTTTACCATGTTCTGGTATTAAAAATGGTTTGAACCCTTTGGGGAAAAAAAACGGTATAACACAAAGTACCAAGATGTCAAATCCCAAATGAAACAAAAAATTTAAATAAGGAGGAAATTATTTAGTAAAGATTCAAGGCTAAAAGGAAACATTAAAAGAAAAAAAAATACTGTAAAAAATAGAGGATTCCCCCTGCACCCAGAGTTAGGTAAAAAATGCAATCAACCCCACCCAGCCCCATCTATCCCCCTTAGAAAAACCCCCAATCCTGAATACAGACCAACCCCTGGATCTCACACTGGTCCTAGCTAGAAGTTAGAACTGAGCTGGGCAGGCAGACACCCACGAACACCGGCACCTGCAGGAATGCAACCACCTGGCTTTGGCATGGCTACAGAAATCTCTCTGGGAACTGTGTAAGAGGACATGGGCTTGGAAAGGAGGTCTCAGGGGAGGGCAGACTCCCAGGAAGAGGGAAAACACACACTGGGGCACCCTCCAGTGAACACTGAGGCCAGCCACCAAAACCCAAGTGCAGCTGCGAGGGCCGAGCTGCGCGCACCACCCTATCTCAAAGGGTCACCTGCAGGCCCCGGGACTGGAGTCCAGCTGGTGTGCTGAGGTCAGCTGAGACAAAACCCTGTAGGTAAGAACGGCCACCTGGGTGGAAAGCCAGCCTCCTCCTTAAGCAGGAACCTCGAGTCCACTTCCTCTTTAGCGTCCGTCCATCACAGAAGGACCGTGATGTACTAACAGTGTTTATCCCGCCCCTGGTCACCACAGAGGCCTGTCAGAAGGGTCCAACTGCCCATTTTTCACCTCTGAGGTGACTAAATAAAAATCTGGGATTAGGAAAATGATTTCCTGTGCTGCGTCAAGTCTCCCTTGCCTCTGCCTGTTCTCACCAGATCGTGATTAAGGGCTCAGAACGTGCAGAAGGCAGTGGCCGGGCCGAGACCAGGCCTATCTCTGTGGGGTCTCAGACACCCCAAAAGTTAACAGGAGAGAGAAGGCAAAAGCACCATACCCTGGTCTTCAAATAAATGGTTACTTCACAAAAGCGCCCCAGACAAGGCAAGGACAAAAGGCAGCTGGACGCCTCGGTGCAGAGCCCCAGTGGCCACGGACATGCCCCCTCCGTTAGACACACACTTTGGTACACACTCCTAAGGACAAGGGAGGTATCAGCTACAGAAAAGCTCAATGGCAAAACATACTAAACGTATCTGAGTTAGTTTCCATCACAGGGCACCTGAAGATAAAGCACAGCTGCGTGACAGAGATGTCACACACGAGCCGTGAGCCAAGCAAGTCCTCCTTCAAACCAAAGGCCCGCGAGAACAGGTGAGGCCCACATGCCCTGGGCTGGGGTCACTGTAGTACATGTAACACTGGGGGGCTGGAGGGCAGGGAAGAAACAGAACATCCAGGAAACTTTTCAAAATAGACCCCAACACCAGAAAAAATGAGAAAAGTGGATATAAAGACAAAACGGTCTCTGTACGTCTTTACTCGGAGCCAGGAGGGTTTGCTCCTTGTGGCAGCTAGAACTCAGAAGGTGACTGATGTCATCATAGCCCCAACTTGCTGTGGGTTTGTACATCAAGAGACAATATGGAGAGGACCCCGGGGACCGAGGCCAAGGGGATTACTCACAAAGATTTCCTAAGATGGGTAAGGTCTAGTCACTGCCCAGGGACGCTGACCGTGGCTCCCATCCCATGTTCTAAACATCTCAAGATGGCAACTAGACCAGACAACCCCGCCACCCACGGAAGCCTTTCTCCAAACAAGGGAACAAGGGGAAGGAACAGGGAGTGCAGGGAAGGGTTTCCTGGGCCGCATCAGGACAAGCGCAGGGGTCTGGCCGCGGCCACAGCAGCCCTCCTGTCTCCAAAGCAGACCAGGTCTCCCAAGAGGCTGTGAGTGCCCAGGGCCTGACAAGGTTCCACAGGTGTGGAACGGCCAATCTGCAGTAGTGGCATCAGCAACACGAATAAGTCTACAGATCATCAGCACTGCACTGTCATCTCCACACCCCACCCCAGGGACAACCCAGATCAGCTGCCTACGCCATGTGCTCCCTCAATCTACTCAGAAACTGGGGGGAGAAAGAAAGTACAAATAAAAACTTCCGAAATTACCACTTCTCATTCCAGCCCGAGTTGGAACAAATGTGTGCGGACAAATCGCCTGCATTAAATAACGTTTAAAATATGGTAACTTCAGCACATTATGACATGAAACGTCCCTTCCCCCAGAGCCCCATTTACTTCAATGCAGTCTCCCCGGCAAATGTTCCATAGTTCAGCCAGGGGAATGGATGCATGTGCCAGATGTCACACAGGCATTTCTCTCTCCAAGAAGGCCAAGAGCCAGGAGAATTCATCTCCCTCTGCTAGGACCTCTGCCCCGCGCTTCCAGGGAAACAGCAGATGGGGCTCGGCCAGGTCAGTAGCTGCGTGATCCACTAACCAGAATCAAATATGGAGAATGCATCACAGAGTGAATTCCTTCCCACTCCTCTTCATGGCAGAAAGACCTAAAGATAACTGACAGGAAGAGCTGTTTCTTCAACCTCAGAGGAGGTTAAAAAAAAAAAAAAAAAAGACAAAGGATAAGCAAAAAAATAAAGAAATAAAAAGAAACTAAATCAAACACCCTAAATACTCCTGAAAATGAGCGTTCCCTGGTGACTGCTGACTGGGAAGAAGCTGAGGCAGGGAAGAATGACACATAGGTGGATGTGACCAGCCACAGAAGTGCCCCACAGAATCCACACGGTGTTCTTCATTTCCAAGGCCAAGTAGTTATTCCCAGTAAGTTAAAATTTTTCTATTAAGAAGTAAACAAAACAAAAATAAAAGCCACTGCAGAAAAAGGGTCAAGGGCAGAGAGCTCTTCGGGAGGTCAAGCCGCTGACCGCCGGCGGATCACGAAGAGCCCGCGCTGTAGCTGGCCCAAGTAGATCCTCATCTTGGTGCTGTCACTGGTCTTCCTCACCCAGATCTGCAGGGACACGAGAGAGCAAGGTGAGAGGCTGAGACACGCTGAAGGGAGAACCTCCCAGGCATTAAAATAGCTGCATGAATTAGGTATGGGCAGAAAACTGGCCACCCCAGCCTGAGTGAGCTTGTCCTTGACCACTATAAAGGCGCGCCTCCAGACAGGGAGCAGGTAATAGCCCTGAACTTATTTCTTCCCACCATCTCCCCCACACTCTGACAAAGAAAATGGAAAGCACAGCAATCCTGGGTCCTCTTTTTGCCTGGACTACAAGGACTCTTGATTAGGTTTGATTACAGCATTATCAATACACAAGAGATACACAGTGAAATAGACCTTTCAAATCTGGAAATACTTTTCCTCACCCCGTATCATACATTCTCTCCGTACTCTGGGGTCTTGACAATTAAGGCTAACAATAAAGGTTACTGTAAGGGAACAAAATGCCATCCATAAAAGGTGTCCTTGAGGCATCTGGGCCCAGCAAGGCCTCTGAAGAGTGGAGAGCTTCAGACAGGGTATCCCTTCCACAGCCTCCACCTCCTGCAGGTGGACTCTGACTTCCCTCGTCCACAGGACAGCTGCACTCTTCTGTGGACTTGCGAATGAACTCTTGCAGCAGGGGGACTGCCAGAGCTGACAAGTGCACTCAATAAGTGGCCTCCTGTAGCCAGGGACGGGGAGAGGAGCTGCCACTGCTGTCACCTGAGCAAGCGAGGAAGGGCTACGGGCGCTCACTATGCCACCGCGCCGATCCTACTCGGCTGCTTCCCCTCAGTCCTGGAAGGAAGCAGCACTGTTGCGGGCCCCATTTTGCAAAGAAGACCAGGCTCAGCAAGGCGGAGCTGCCTGTCCCCATGTGACACTGGTGCCTGATATCACAGCCCTGGCTGTTCTCCACAAAGCCTGCTCTCTGAAGGAGCAATTAAGTGGAGCTGAAAGCACCATGTTTTGAAAGGTCTGCACCTCAGCCATACATAGAAGTTTATAAATGGATCTCCTCCCCTGACTAGGGTCTTAGGTTTTTAAAAAAGCAAATTCTCAGCTTCATCTCAACTTCTTCAATGTGATTATTAAACACAAGAGAGAGGCTTTAAAGTCAAACACACTGGTTTAAAAATGAAACAAGTTGGGCTGGGGATATAGCTCAGAGGTAGAGCTCTTGCCTTGCATACATGAGGCCCTGGATTCAATTTCCAAACCAGGTTTATAAAAAAAAAACAGGCACAGTGTCACCCACCTATAATCCCAATGACTTGGGAGGCTAATACATGAGGACCACAAATTTGAGGCCAGCCTCAGCAACTTAGCAAGACCCTGCCTCAATAATGCTGGGGATGTATGTAGCTCAAGGGTAAAGCACCCTGGGTTCAATCCCTAGTACCCCCAAAATAAAAAAAAAAATTAAAAAGTGAAGCAAGTTAAAGATTTCACATGAAGCTGAGATTCTAAAGGACCTTGAGGAACCATTTTAAACTGAAAACTGACTCCACAGAGGGCTGAACTGGCAAGGTCACCAACACATTCAGACCCACCCACCAAACCTGCCCAGAGCTGATCAATGCAAAGCCACAGAGCTCAGTGTCATTTAGGCTTTGGGCTGAGAAGCTGAAACACTTCTAAGCAGGGGATATGAACTATTCCCACCATAAGAGTCACACACCTCCAGCGCCTGAGGCCTCTCCCCTCCAGGACACAGCTGCAGTGCCACCACTCCGTCAGACCTTACCGTCACTCCCTTGTGACAGAAAGTGCCAATCCTGAACAAGGGATAGGGTGTCAAATCTGAATTTCTATTTTTCTTGAGGCGTCACAGAAGAGAATAACAGACTGGTTCTGAAGCTGGGCTTGGGACCAGGAAGCCACATGTGCTTTCTAGCTCACCCGGCCAGCCAGGGACAAATGCTCTGTGGTGAAGTGGTGATGCCCTTGGACAAGGAACACTAGGCCTCTATTAGATGCCCTGGTTCTGGTTTGGCTTAGCTTGGGCGAATCTCACAGATCCTGAGCCCAAAGAAGAATGACATTCACTTATCTGGAAGGCTCTGCCTAACTTCTAAGTAAACAATCATTTTGCAAACTAGTCACATTTGAGGGCATTTTCAATTCAGGAAACTGGGAGAATACAAGAGGCTTAAGTTATTTCATAATCCAGTTTCATTAGATTTACTGCGCATTGGCACGAATAAGTTACAGAGAGTGGACGTGTGAAAATCAATTTCTTTGCAGACATCTGTGCCTGATAAGAGATCAAGCCAATCTAGCTATTAAAGTTTTCAACTTTTTGTTAACTACCAACAAGACAGACACTGTCAACATCCTCTTAATGAAGGGCCAGGAGAACTCACAGGCAGCCACATCATCCTCGGGTATTGACCACATAACTAAAACTGGACCCGATCCTGCCGAGTGTCTCAAGGAGACCAACAGCCAAGGGCACAAGCCTGGCAGCCTGCTGTTCAGAGACGCAGCAGGACACCTCAGGAGGCTACCAGGCAGGGAGCTGTATGCTGGCTGGACCAGCACCAACGTACTGAGCACTTAACTCAATGCTGGCCCTTGTGCATTCTCAGATTGAGAAACAAACCTGTTGGTGCATATGAAAGTCCTAGAGAGGCAGCAACACAGAGACGGAGTAAGTGGCACGGCCTGGTCCGTTCTCAGTGGATGACAACCTTAGAAAGCAGCCACAGATGAACGTACTTGCCCTGCTCAGTCTAGCTCGGTGGCTCCCAAATCCATCACAGCCTGGGGAGGTCGCCAGCACCACCAGAAAAACACAAGGTTGCAGGCACCCTCACAGCAGGCGGAAGGCATTTTTCAAGGGTGTTTCTGACTGTGCGTAATTTCTGCCTGAAAGTGCTGACCTCAGAAGCTCACTCACATGAGACGTGACTTCACCGTGCTTTGTTGGTGGCACCTTCATTTTAGGTTTGTCATATTTTCCACACTTCAAAGAGCTCATTTGTCTTTCCTCAGGGTGCAAAAATTCGCCCTACCTCATTGGCTCCGACCGAACTGATCACGCAGCTCAGTTTCTGGTTGTCCTTTGACTCCAGATAGATGGCCTGGCTCTTGTGGTACCTGCCAAAAACAGGGCACAATGTGAAAAGGACGGGGTGGAGGGGGGAGACAAAACAAAACGCTATCACTGTAAGAAATGTAATGCAGAAGTCCACAGAATGACTTGAGAGCCTGGATTCCAGGTGTCATTTACAGACTTCCATCCTTGGACGGGGTGACCTCCTAATCTTCTGGATCTAAAACTTAAGTTCCTTGGCCCCTCTGAAAAGAGGAAAGGGGGATGAGGTCAGAATATAATTTACTTTTTGATTTGGACTATATAACCCAGTTCAAAAAGCAAAATAAAAATTTTGAGGTAAAATATCTCTGTTTCCACTTTATAGTGATAGAGAGGCAGAGTGACTATTTTGTTTATTTTTATGTGGTGCTAAGGATCAAACCCATGCCTCACACTTGTTAGGCAAACTCTCTGCCACTGAAGTACAGCCCTCTGTTCCCACTGTCTGGACAAAATAAATACATGGGCTTAAACATCTGTCATTTATTTCGTATTTGTCCAAATTAGTCATCAACAAGAAGGTTGGATGAACTCAGCCCTTCTTTAGTCATTCATTCAAAAATAATCATTAAGGGGCTGGGGTCGTGGCTCAGTGGTAGAGCATTTACGGGCATGTGTGGGGCCCTGGGATAGACTCTCAACATCACATAAATAAATAAGATAAAGGTATTGTGTCCATCTACAACTAAAAAAAATATTTAAAAAAATTTTTAAAAATAAGTGAATAAAATAAAGGTACATCAACATCTTAAAAAGTATATATTAAAAAAAAAATACTCATTAAGCTCTGACTAGGCAACACTGACTATGCCAGAGGATGGAGCAGACAGTGCACGGGCCTCAGGTCCCTGCTGTTACAGAGCTTCAAGTGCAGTGGGAGAGGGAAGATCAAGTGCCACACCTGCAAATGCTCATTAGGTGAAGTGCCGGTTGTCCTGACATTTGCTAAGGGACATCGATCTGGCCCAGACAGTAGGGAAAGCTGCTGTGAATGGAATAGGTAAGGCATATGCCCCCATTCCGGCCCCCACCACTACTCTCCTGGCCTACTGTCGCACAGGGCCACTTCCAACTGACGGACAAGGCCGAGGATGGAAGGTACGAAGCCTGGACCAAACCCAGCAGGACATTGGGGTGGAAGAACAGACTGCAAGAGCTGGATATATCAGCTGACCCGCTGCGGGCAGCCCTGCCCGAGCTGGCTCCACTTGAATCAAGAACATAATCTTTGGTTCATGCTGGCTACATACGTCCAGCTAAAAAGATCCACAAATTCTTGTACATTCCACCAAAACACATCTCCCAGCAGAGCGCTGTGTCTTCTTATCCCTCTGGAGGAAGAAGGCAGATTCTATTTTGCTGGTATAATGAAATAATCTACTGCCAAGCTATCTCAGTAAAGGCTGTACTTCTCTCCCACAGTGAGCTCTTTCCAATCTAGGTTCTAAGTGCTCTTTAACCTGCTACTTAAGAGCTGAAAACTCAGGTTTCCAAGTCAATTCACTTTCTGAAAACATTGTTAAAAGAAAATAAATCATAAATGCAATTACAACAGTGAGACAGGGTGAGATCCAAGACATAAAGTTGCCGTTGGCCATGTATTAGTTGGTAAACTGGGTCAAAGGACCTTCGTTATGCTAAACAGTTAATATCACAAGATCAAATTATACAATGCATGAGGAAAGCCTGAATGATCCACAACACAAAAACTTCCCTTGGTTTCTTTCCCACATTTAAGCCAACTCTCATGTGTAAACAGCAATGTCTTGAATTATGGTTTGAATAAAAATCAGAAGAATACTCAGTTATCCTATGAGGATTATGAGGTATTAAAGAGAAACACATAACAAAATGCAACTAGCCTCAAGCCATTCTGATTCTACTTTCTCAACACTTTAATGAAGAAAGGTCAAGGGCTGGGGGCCTAGCTCCATGGTAGAGCACTTGCCTAGCATGCATGAGGTCAGGGTTCAACCCCCAGTACACACACAGAAAGGTTATGGTAAGGAGGAAATGTGCTCAATATAAAGCCAAGTGGAAAAAAAAGTCCCCTTTGTTCCTTTGTTTGTAATAAAACACACGTTTGATGTGCACTCTATACACAAAGAAAAAAATGGTAAATTCACAAATTAAAATGTATATTAAATGCATATAAAAATGTAACACTAAATGAAGAATGTTATTTTTTATTGATAAATGTCTTTCTTTTTCCTAGGATAAGCAAGTATTATTTATATTTAAAAAAAATAATATAAGTTATGGTATTAGAAACAAATAAGATGGATGAGCAAAAAGAAAATGTTAGGAAGCTCTGTCAAACAGTTCATTCTGTAACACCATTCAAACAGTTCTCAGGAGATGTGTTGTATTTTCCTTCAATTACGCTTAGAACCCAAACATCTAACACCCTCAACAGTGAACATCAGGAGTGAAGGTGGCAGCGTGGCCAACATCTCTGGTCTCTCACTCCACGGTGGTGCTTGGCCAGCCAGCACGCTTCCCAGAGCAGCCAACTTCCAAATCAACTGACCCCCAGTCTCCAGGACATTCGGGGGATTCTCATGCACCACACAATGGTCTCTGGGAATCATTAACCCCAGATAGCAAACCTATTCAATTATTTGAATTCTCTAAAAATTCTAGGGTTTTTAAATACAAACCAAAACCAAAAAAAAAAAAAAAAAAAAAAGATAGCCTTAACGTATAAATTTACTTTTCAATTTCTAAAAACTAATAAAGGGGGAAACAAATTCAAAATAAATTTAGAAAAAAATGTTAATGTTATCAACAGAACTAATTTAGTGAAAATGTACGTCTTCTCTTGCCAGTTAGCCCATTTTACACGATACAACTCACCTGCTGGGAAAAAAAAAAATTCTTAAACAACCTCAGAGAATAGAACCTAAATGTCAAATTGACTAATGAAAATTCTGATCTGGGAATCCCAACAATTAAGCTCTTGAAGCTCTGTGCCTCTACTATTAAACCCAACGAACTAGAATGACTATACCACTATTTTGAAAGAAAGCAATTTCTTTAGCAGGTAGATCTGAAAGTGGAGCAAGGTGGGAAGTAATTGGATTCTGAATCTACGAGCAATCCTGACATTAACACTTCACTTCCCACAACTGAGTCCACATCACAGCTATAGAACCTCCAGGGGTCCCAACGCCTGTTGGAAATATTCACTGTTCGGAGTTAACTGAGAGCTGGAGGGTGAAGTCTACTTGAGCAAGTGGTGACTTCATTTATGATTCACATTAGCAGCTCCAGCACCAGCAGTTAGCTATTTAAAATAACAGCTACTCCACAGTATCTCCTGAGAGGGGTCATTAGTCCAGATCAAAATGGGAGGCAAAGGCCTTAATCTCAACTGAAGACCAGGCAAAGAGAAGATGCTTATCTTTCAAAATGAAATGTAGTTTGATAAGTGTTCATGCCAAGATGGGAAGCCTGACTCAAGACTTATTTTGCTAAAGTCATTTAAAACTCAATGAAACATGTTTTGCCAATAATACCGTTATACCAAAATATGCCATGCCACTGGACACAGCATGCAAGAAATTCACCTGATCTCTCCACCATGGGCTGTGTCTGCAATAAAGATAAAAAAGGATATAAAAGCCCTGTGAAATCTTTCACCAAGTCTCAGGGAAAAAAGGGACTCATCATGAACTCTGACTCCCAAGGCCAAAGAAGAAAAACACACAGAATAATGAAGAAAACAACATTCCCAAAATATATTTAACAGCAGAATGAGTAACTAAAAATTCACTGAAAAAGTAAAACACTTCCAGAGACATTATTCTGCAAATGTCTTCTGCTAACATGAGCAGGGTGGTGAAAATTCCTTCACACTGCTTAGTAGTTCTGACACATCATCAAGCCCAATCACTTTGTTTACATTATGAAACACCAGTCACTGGAGGTCTTTGCCAAAAAAAAAAAAAAAAAAAAAAAAAAACCAAGCATTTTATTTTACTACATCTTCACCCTCAGGACACATCTCATAAAGTCGTAAGGATTAAGTCAAGAAAGAGAAAGATCTGAAGCAACGTAATTATAAAATGAACATCATTTGAAATATCACATGGCTTTAAGACTCATAGATCCGTAAAAATGTTAGTGATAAACCTCATCATTTTCAAAGGCGGTTCCTATATGTGGGCTTGATCTTTAAAGGTTATTTGGTTTTCATTATTAGAAACATTTTTCATCTCATCTTGACCCACTGTGATGAGCAGCTAGGGCCTGCCACCTAGTGGTGATACGTTCTGATGAGCAACGTAAGATACCACACCAACTGAAGAATGCCCAAGAACAGCCAAATTACAGGGGCAGAAGTCACCAAGGTTAGGCTTACAGACAAAGCAAGCCTCCTTCATCTGCTAGGTAATTGACTCACTGTTATTTACTAGGTGGAAATGATTTATTTCAGGCATGACCAGATCTCCAAGCATTTTTGAAGAACACTTAACCCTCTAGTTCTGCAGGTTCCACACCCGTGTTTCAATCAACTACAGATCAGAAATATTTCGGGGTGGGGAGGGGGGACGACAACAACAACACTGTGTATGGAATGAACATTTTTTTTCTTGTAATAATACATTGTAACAACTACTTTCACAACATTGATATTAAGTATTATAAGTCATCCTGAGAAGATTTAAAATAAAGAGGAGGAAGGATTTAGGTTATATGCAAATTCTATAGTACTTGATTTAAGAGACCTGACCATCTGAGGGGGTTCCTGGAACCAATCCCCCGCGTGGTTACAGAGAAATGTGTATTCAATATTGTATTGTGATCAACTAACATAAAGCAATATAAAACTCAAAAAAGTTGCCAGGCATGGTGGCGCATACCTATAACCCAGCAGCTCAGGAGCTGTGACCCTAAGCAACTTAGCAAGACCCTGTCTCAAAGTACAAAATAAAAAGTGCTAAGGATAGAGTACCCAGGGTTCAATGCCTAGTAACAAACAAACACAGTCAAAAAAGTCAAAACAACCACTAGCCTGATCTTTGGAACTTCTGGCTACACAAAAGTATTAAAACTCGGCATTATTACTAGCCATTAAAAATGATAATTCCAGAGGGCACAGAGGGACTGAGAAAAAGACTCTCGATAGAACCAACTACAAGAATACCTATAACCTGAGCTGAGTAAGAGGCTGTCTGCAGAGGGACAACAAATAGGAAGAAATATTGTCTCTGAGTCAAAAGAGCCGAGAAGATGGCAGGGTCCAGGGTGATCCAACGCCCAGCGGACGCCTCACATGAGGCTGGCTGAATGAATAAATGCATGAGCTCTTAAGGTTCTACGCTATTGCTTTGCCATTTCCTTTCCAATGAAAAACACTGGCAGTCTAAAGGTTTCAACAGTCTTCAATCTAAATGAGTCAGGTTTTAGGATACAATTCCCCTAAGAAAGTTTCCTGGAACACTTTGGCAGCAGAATAATGCATGAGAAAACAGTACAGCTGTCAAATAAAAACCACCCAATAACATCTTGGAAATTCACAGCGCACATTAGCATGTGACAAGACCCAGAGAGTGCGATAAGAAGGGAACTCATTTATCTTAATTAACATGATCATCCCTAAACCAATATGACCACAATCTTCTATCCACAGAACACCTATTAACCTTAGCACATAGGACCAAAGTTAATAGGAGGCAGAAGAGAACGTGTACCCTGGCTCCACGGGCCAGGGACACTGAAAAAAAAAAAATAGGCTTAAAATTCTAGTGTGATGACAGCAGCACGGAGAGGAAGGGGACCGCCACCCACATTTTGGGAAACAGTCTTCAGAAACCTAACAGAGGTCTATCAAACGGCTGGTGACACACAGGACGAAAAGTGGAATCCCATTTAAAAATTTAAGTAGCAGGCATGCTCTGAAACCACCACAGGAAGCCCCAGGATGGCTCTTTGGAGTAGTCCCTGTTTTCTCATGACTTACCATCTCTTATCATAATACAGTTTACCATCTTCTATCCGAGCCTCAAATCTCTGGGCTGGAGACTCCGCAGGGGTCGCAGGCAAGTGTTCAGGAGAGGATGGGGATGCTAGAGGAGCCAGAGACAGTTAAATGACTAAGCGTGCAACAAACGTGTACGACCACCAGCTACCATCCTTTAACTGAGACACATTAGGGTGTGGTGACAGTCATTACCATCAAGTTCTTACAGTGATAACTCCTGGGAATTAAACACACAAACAAACATTTTAAAGAGATGGGGTCTCACTATGTTGCCCAGGTTAGAGTACAGTGGCTGTGCACAGGCGAGACCCCCAGTACTGATCAACATGTGCACTCCTGGGAGGTCACCACATTGATGCAGACCTTAGTGTGGACACCTGATCAGTACAAACAAAATTCTTATACATCACACCAAACTTTGTCCTCAAAACATTCCCAGAGACAGGCAGGGCACAGATTAACCTCACTGAACAGAGGAGAAACTGGAGGCTTAGGAAGGCCAAGGTCAAATGCACCAATGCACAAGACCACTTAGAGGTGGATTAAATCCTAATGACCATCAGAAGCCCCAAAGGGCAAGTATCATGACAATCTCTTAAAAATTAAATCATTTTTAGAGATAAAGTAGGTTTAAATGATCTAAATGTACATACTTACTCACATAACCCTCCCCATCATGCCTCAGAAGCTCAGGACTTCTCTGTGGACTACAGGGGCCCACAGGAAGACATTATCTAGAGAAAGAAGAATCTGGGTTTTTCTTCCACAAGACTAAGTAGAGGAAAGTGTGACTTATCACAGCACTTAGTACAAGAAAAGACATTGCTAACTTAGAATTCCAGTTTGCAACTAGCATCGACTTTCATGTGCTGCTCTGGAAGGTATCACTGTGAACAGTGACTGGGCCTTGGCCTCATCTATACCTAGGAACTTGGCACAGCCTTACCAGAGAGCCAGGCCATGAAAAGTCACTGGTATAGCAATACCTAGGACTTAATTCCAGAAAGTAAGGAATACTGAAAAATTCTCTGGTTTCATTTTCAAAACTGGAAACTTTAATCTCGTGCCTAATGCCTACACAGAAGGAAACCTTTAACAGCTGATCAAATGTCTATTTTTATAATAAATCCCAAGGAAAAGACAAAAATAACAGGCTGAAAAAATAAAGCGGGGTGAGGTACACTTAAGATTCCCTTCAGTTTCACTCACAGGCAAATGACAAACACTTTACTTCTGAAAACTGCAACAATTCCCTGACAGGTATTCACATGCTTTTCCAACAACATGATAAAAAGATCGTACAAATGTCAATAACATTAAGCACTTACCTGGTCTCTTGGGTGACTTAAGCTGTAGGAAGAACAACAACAAAAAAAAATCTTAGAGAAAATCATTTGGATAACTGTAGGTGTCAGAGGTTTCATAATGACTCAACAAGTATCATGTGAACATAGTGAAGACACCATGTCAAGCCTGAGCTTTCAAATAAATGAATAGAACTGTACCTTATTTAATGTTCTCAGATCCTCCATGATCTGTTCGTCTGTTAACAAATAATTTAGCTGAGGTGTTGAGAGTTAATGGAATGCATCCGAACATGTATGGTTTCCAAGGAAACAGAAATCAACAAACTGGTACCAGTAGTTCAGAACTGACAAGGTATGACTATTCAGAATGACATTTTTGCAATAACTTATTTCTCAGAAAGCTGACTCTCGAGCTAAATGTCATGGTGACCAAGTATATTAAAGAATTCACACACCCCACCTTACAAACTACTAGGAGGAGGTAGAATAAGACTCATTAGGTCTCTACAACAACAGCGAGAGCACAGAAAATAGAAAACAACTGTGTCCCAAATTTATAAAGTGCTTTTGTTCCAAATGTCTTGAGACTTACACTTACACACTTACACACACACACACACACACAGAGATTAGTTTTCCACAGCAACTAAAATTCTGTTATAAAGGTGAAGGGACCTGAAGTTATGTCCTTTCCTGGTGGCAGACAAGTGAAATGACCAAACCATTCTGAAAAAACATCCATTTATTACCTCTTTTTTTTTTTGGGGGGGGGGGGGGGCTAGGGAGAGTACTGGGCATTGAACTCAGGGGCACTTGACCACTGAGCCATATCCCCAGCCTTTTTCTGTATTTTATTTAGAGACAGGGTCTCACTGTTGCTTAGCATCTAGCTGTTGCTGAGGCTGGCTTTGAACTGGTGATCCTCCTGCCTCAGCCTCTCTAGTCACTGGGATTACATGAATGAGCCACACGCCTGTAATTTATTATCTCTTAAATAGAAAAAACACTTTTCTTCATGTGTCCCATTCCCATTAACCATTTTTAAAATTAAAGAACTTTGTTGTGTTGATTAAAATATCATTTGCTTTCATTTAAAAACAGTTTGCAACTCACTATTTTAGGGATGGGGTAACTGAGATACCCAAAGTCTGATACTACTGTCCTCATTTGACAGGTAGAAAAATTAACACACATCAAGTTTTCAACTGCCCTTGAATCTTGAAGTGTTAAAACCAGGTTCAACATCAGACATAAAGTATCTTTCCAAATGATACCTTGATATAAACATCTCCCACTAAAAGAAGTAGCAGCTGAGGACTCCAATATCAAAATGGCCAGTCAAGACCCAGTCATAAAAATTTTACATATGCTTTTCCACCAAATATTTTTTTCTGCAGGACAATGCCCACATATACTCTATCAGATGGATCAATAAGAGAGTCAATAGTCTTAAGGGAAAAAGAAGTGATTGAAACTTGAAGCAAATGGATATCGGGAGCAGGTTTTCTCCTCTTGTCTGGGATGGGGACAGGATCATTTGGTCGCCTCCGCAACTTTCTGGTCATGATAGGTTTCACTTCCATAGAATCTATGGCAAAAACGGAATGGGTCAATATATCCAATTCCCACTGGAGGTCAGTAAGAATTCCTATAGTGTAAGAATATCTGCCCTAGGCCACCCAATCAGAATCACTTTACTTCAGATGTCCCATCTACACCTGGCCTAAGCCAGACACCCACATCAGACTTTAAAAAAGGTCTGTGCATGTGAAATTCAAACCAGCAGTACTAGGTCCACATCCCTCCCAGAAATCCAGCCCTGGAGTCTAACATTATGGCCACTGTAGAAATCTCCCCAGCACCCTCAAAAACTAGGGGTTATACGGCTGGGGCTGAGGCTCAGTGACAGAGCACTTGCCTAGTATGTGTGAAGCACTGGGTTCGATTCTCAGCACCACACACACACATAAATAAAATAAAGGTCCATCGACAAAAAAAAAAAAAAAAAAATCTAGGAACAATTGCTCCTCTCACTCAAATTAGGAAGCCAGAGTTGTGAACTCTTGGGAAGAGAAGGAACCTCACCATCACCTCACGGGACTGATTGCCGCTGTCCCAGAGGGTGGATGTGCGCAGCCACTAGCACAAAAGGCTCTTTTAAGGCCACTGGACTTATTTAAAATGCCAGCATTTTTTAGTAAGTCTTTATTTACAAACTTAAAACTTTTTTCTTTTATAACCTTTGATGGCTACTTGACTTCAAAAATGATACATGAAGGCACATTCCAAAGACTCTTTTCACTCTTCTTGACTTTCCCCAGCCGACGTGGCCCCTGACTCCCCACACTACGCAGTCTCTACCCTTTAGCCCCAGCCACCCAAACCCCTGCTGATCTGCTCCTTTGGGGGTCCTTTTTTCCTGGCCTATTCCTTACACACTGGTCATCTCCAGGGTCCCTAGTGAATCCTCACCCCCACCACTCCCAGTTCCCCAGGCCTCTCAGTGGCAAGCCACATCCAACCCTACCCTCTCAGGCCCCAGGCAAACCCATCCCTTTCTGGTTTCCCCTCCCAGTCTGCCTCTTCTCCAGGGCTCAGAAGCATCAGTTATCCGAAGACGTGACACTTTCAGGCCATCAAGGCTTTGTGCTGTCATTCTCTCTGACAGAGAAGAAGATGTGGGCCTGCACAGTAGTCCCTCCTGTGACCTGCTCACTCCCTCTCCCCGGTACCAGGGCATTTGTGCAACCCTCCAGCGCACCAAGTGCCACACCATGTGGAACTTGCTCCCCATCAGATACTGGGATTCCGCCACAGCGTGAAATCCGTCTCCGCCCCAGCACCTAGCAATAGTCCTGGCACACAGCAGAGTCAGCACAAAGTCTTCTTCAGAATGATCAGAATGATCATGAGATAAGGGTACAGGGCCTTAGAGTGAGGAGTCAAAAGCGTTTCAGTTTGCTGCTCTTCAAAAGAAATGGGTGACACTGAATTTTTTCCTGTAGTGGAATGGAGGTGATATAGGAACCCTGGCCTAATGAGATGGGGGAAGAAGGAAGAGGATGTGCACCCAAACCCCTGGGGAGGGGGAAGCTTTCTTCCTAAAAGAAAGTCCTTACTCTCTGTTCAGATGCCACCTTTCTCCTCTTACTCACTCGCTGGCTGGTGGCACAGCACTATCACAGGAGCAGGGCTACTATCCTAAATGGGCTTGAGACCCTGCAGCAGCCAAGCACCCAGAAGCGGGCTGTGTAGATGCTCCAAGTCCCCAGCCTCCTCAACAAAAGGATGGAAACACCAGCACATCCTCCCTCGTGGGGCACCATGACGACTGCATGAGAGGACACAGGAAAAGCCCTGAGCACAGTGCCTGAGGTGACAAGAACTGAAAGGAGGCTGGCTCTTCTTATCATATTTCAAGGAGGAAAAAACTACAGAGATCTTTTTTAAAAGACAAGGTGCAAACAGTCAAACAGAAGCCACCCACTACACCAAGCAGCAGTATCCGCTGTGAGGCTTTCAACACGCAGACCTAACTTGGAAACCAAAGTATGAAAAGAACCCAACCCAAAGCGAGCCAGAGAAAGGAGGAGGCAGCCCATGAACATTAGGGAACATCCTGTCCACCAGAGAGTGGCTGAGTGCACCCTGCTCTGCGGGCTGCCCAGACTGCAGCGTGGGGAGGGTGTACAGCACCCAATGGAAAGAAGCCAAGAGAAAGGGGGAGCCGAGGGGACAGCAGTTCAGTCAGGCCACTAAACTCAGAAAATCATAACGGCATCAGGCACAAATCAGAAAATACAATCAAATTCTTCTTGTAAAATGTGAAAATAGCTCCACTGTATTAGCCTGGTCATGGCAGTGACCTGATGAATTCCATACAAGACCACCCCTGCAGAACCAGGGTGCTCTGGAGAAGCCCTAAAATCCATCAGCAAGTCTCTCACACCACCTAGGAAAGGGGGGACAGCAGAAGGCAGTGCTGGCCGGTGGCCATGAGGAAGTGATTAATGGAGAGAGCAAGCTACGCATCACAACTCCAATAAGACACACTCCACCAAGTCACCTTGCTCCAATCCCAGCTTTGTTTAGTTGTCTTTGAAATTTTTCAAAAAAGGAGAGGGGCTGGCCTGGCCAGCAGGGCCTGAATCTACCTGTCAGTTCTATTTCTACAGTATGCAACAGAGGGCTTACTGAGTTTCCAACACCAGCCTCCAACGAGTTCAGTCGATAAGAATCTTAGGGGTTCAAGCTGAGGACACTGATGAAACTCCAGCTTCCGGAAGTGAAGCTCAGATCCTGGACTCTGACCACCCTGGAGAAGATCCCTGAGCAGGGAATTTCAGACACCGAGCACCAACCCCAAAACACCTCCAAATGGCCAAAATTAAAAAGTGTCTCTGATCCAGAGGACTCTTCAAAGATCTGCTTGAGAGGGGATACTATCTGTAGAATCTCACAGAACATCTAACAATCAAGCCAGTCTTGGGGGAAGTTTATGTGGGAACCATTCCTCTCCACACTACCCCATAAAGGACCTTTAATAGCACAACTCCTAGAGCTCTGCTCACCAGAAAACCTGACAAACACAGGCATCCCCACACCCACCTGGGTAGCACCGGGCCTGCCTGCTAAGAAACGGGAGCACAGGTTGGATTAGAGGTAGGCACAGTCATCATAACACAGTCCCTATGGGGAGAGATCCCTGACAATCATTTCCTGCAATTGACATGTGATTACCAGTTTACTGACTGGCCTCTTGTTCTGCACTTTCTTAGGCCTGTTCACTCATTTCCAACAACTCACCTGCCTACAGCATTCAACTGCAATAAAAGCTTCATTTTAATACAGCCTAACCACTAAAACAAGCTCCTACGGACCTCACTCAGGTGGAATCTGAAGAAGCTGACCTCAAGAAGCAGCGTAGCGCAGGGGAGGGCATCACCAAGCTCCAACTGGACAGGGGAGTAAGTTTTGGGGTCCTACTGCACAATAAGGCGTCTACGATTAACAATATTATATGGAGCATTTCAAAACAGCTACCAGAATGTCAGATTTTAAATGTTCTTAGCACAAAGAAAAGATAGTGTGAGTTGATGGACATGCTTATGACCTGATGTGAGTACTACCCAATGTCAATGTACGTATCAAAATATCCCTGCACCCATAAGCATGTACAATTATGTGTCAATTAAAAACAAAAATTTAGGAAAAAACAAGCTCATATCTGTTCAGCTATTGGGGGGGAAAACGAGCGGCAGTGATTCAAAGAAGGATCCATAAGAAACAAGATGTGTGTGGTAGGAAGAAAAGTCACTGCAAGCAAACCTGCAGCCGATTGGCAACCCCTCCAAACCAGGGGCATCGCAACACGGGGTCAGTTTGAGGCCCAGCACACCCCTGCCCCTCGACAGGCTCACCCTGGGGTCACAAATCAGTGCTGCCGCGGTGGAGACAAACGGGAGGTGAGAACATGCAATGACCATCCAGGTCAGGAGCTGGGCATGGTGGCACCTGGCTGCAATCCCAGCAGGATGGCAAGTTTGAGACCAGCCTAAGCTACTTAGCATGACCCTCAGCAACTGAGCAAGATCCTGAATTAAAATAAAAATAAAAGGGCCATGGATGAGCTCGGTGGTGGTGGAGCACCCTTGGGTTCATTCCCCAGGGTCAAAAAGAGAATCAAGGTCAGCTCCTTGCAATTCAAATCGGAATAGGAATTAAGGGACCAACCTCCATTAGGCCAAAGTTGCCCACAAGGAAGGGATGACAGTTAAAGAGCGAACCAACTGAGCCCTCCTCCTTGCGTCTCAACCACCAGAACACCCTGGATTCCACAGTCAGCAGCAGAAAGAATGTTCCAAGGAGAACCCCACCCCACCCCAAATCCAAGTCTCTTCCTCCCTTCTCCCTTGCCAGGTATTGTGCAGGACCTCGTCCCCTGGCCTTGACTCAGGTCTTTCCTCACTGGCATCTCTGTGTACTGTAGGAGACTCCCCTCCCGCACAGTCCAGCCACACTACCTTACAGTTTTAAAATCACTCGGTCAAATCTTTACCTTCGTTTGGGGGCCCTCTCTCTCCAAACCACCTTACGCTGGGAAAGACGTGGAGGCTGTGTCGGTTTTATTACTATCAGAACATAAGCCCCTTGAGTACAGGGACCTTACCCATCAGCCAAATTCTGTGATTCACTTACAGTCACATGTACTGTTACCAGGAAAAGTCAGTATAATATGATGGTTAAGAGAATCCACTTGCAGCCAGACAAATCCTGGCTTCAGCACTACCTAGCTCTGCGGGGGACTGAGCAAATGGCTCCACTTCTGAGTCAGCTCTGCCATCTGTAAACTCAGGATGATGACACCCAAGTAGAGCTACCCAAACTAAATGGGTTGCACTTCCCAAGTCCTGCCAGCCACTTTCCCAAGCACACCTCACCTATTCTCTGGCCCTCTCCCCACAACAGGTTCTATCACCTCTTTACTGAAGGAGGAACTCCCACTTCAACTAAGTCAGTGGACAAAGCCAGGATCCCCCAGGTCTGTCAGCCTGCAGCGGTAGGTAGCTCTAAGGTTTTTACACAATGCCTCACTGGATAAGTACTCAGAAAATGAGACTTCTAATTTGACATCATAATGAATCATGTACTAGTTATGAATCTAGTATTTTGCGGGGGGTGGGGTCAGTTCTGGGGGTTGAACTCAGTGGTACTTGAACCACTGAGCTATATGTCAGTCCTTTCTTTATTTCTTTCTTTTTTTTTTTGAGACAGTCTTGCAAAGTTGCCCAGGCTGATCTCAAACTTGCAAGCCTCCTGCCTCAGCCTACTGAATGGCTGGGATTACAGGTACGCACCGCCGTGCCTGGCTAAACCCAGTTTTTTCCAAAAGAAACTCACAGGCTTTAATGAGGTTTGAGTAGCTTCCACAGGGGCCTCAGGGTTCAAAGAAGTCCCTGGTGAGCAAGAACTTACAACAGAAAATGAAGTGGCAGTTAGCAAGGTGTTGGAAGAAGGGAGAAAAGGAGACTACTCTATGACAAGAAGAAAAATGAATTAAGTATGACACATTTCAAAGTTCATTAGGTTCTCATTGATTGAGTGGGTTACTTATAATCTTGCCTCAACATTAGAAAAAACTCACTCTCAGGTAATTTTATCTACAACCTCACTACTCAAAGTGTGGGAAGACCAGCATCCTCGGCAGCCCTGGCAGTTGAGTGCGTACCCCTGTCTGCCTGAAACAGAGTCTGCCCATCAAGACCCAGGTGCACACTGAGGCGGCAGCAGCAGTGACAGACAAGCGTCCTGGAGCTTCTCCACCCGCGGTACACCACGTGGCCCGCAGCCCAGATTTCCGAAGTTCTCTGCAAGAGGTTTGGGTTCCGAGAGTACCTTCTGCTATTCCCAGGAAGGCTGTGACGGCTCCCATGCCACTGGATAACAACCATTTTCAATGGGTTCCTGGGACAAAGCTTCACAGCTCATCATCCTCTTATTCTACTTTCTTGGGGAGGCTGGGGGGGCTGGGGATTGAATCCAAGGGCACTTACCCACGGAGCCACATCCCCAGCCCTTTTTATTTTTATTAATTTTATTTTGAGACAGGGTCTCACTAGGTTGCGTACAGCCTTACTAAGTTGCTGAGGCTGGCTTCGAACTTGTGATCCTCCTGCTTTGTTTTAAAGAGATCTTCACGTTGAAACAGAAAAGGAGACTTTAAGAAATGTCTTTTCTGGGCAGTGCTGGGCACCACTGATATTGGGCATCAATCCACCAAGGTGAAGTAAGTCACTCAATTAGAGGGAGGAAATCAGCCTTTAATCCAGCACCATAGCAGCACCATCTGTGGAGAGCTCATTATCCTCCCAGCTCCAGTGCCTTTTCTTTCCACACCTATCATTACCTTGGCAGCACTTTCCATACCAAGGGTACCAAATGGCTTGAGGAAGGACATCAGCACCATTGATGCTCATGGCTAGCTTTAGACACTTCTATAATTTGTGTGTGTGTGTGTGTTACAAATGATTTCACTGCATATATTTGTCTTCTCTACCCTTGCAGGTTCTGCTTCAAGTCACTGAGGATGTCTCCTGCCCCAGATAAGATTCTGGCTGTAAAACTAGCTGGCTAAATAATGTCCATTGCTTGTCAATAATTAGGATGCCAAATCACAGGTAAGGTGATAATACCCTTCCCTGCAGATGGAAAGGGAGCAGCTATAAACGGACAATATTTCCCACTAGCCTAATGAAGACTCCCGAGCAGCTGGTAGCTCTAGCAGAGAGCGATGAGGCATCAATGCCAGTCACAGCCACCATCAAAGAAAACAGTGTGTGGGTCAGGAAACAGGCAAGCAGACTGGTACCAGACAGGGCACTGCAGTGCTAGCCATCTAATTAAAAAAGCATTTCAACAGGAACAAGACAGCGCTGTCTAAAGATGCTGTTTTCACATGTATTCTTGCCAAAACGACACACACAAAAAAGCATTTTTGAGCTACTTTCAGAGGTCTTCAAGGAACTCGCTCCTTTTGCCAAGTCTCTCACTGAGGAAACCACCAGAGGAGAGATCTGTCACAAGTCGGACCCCCTCCAGCTCCAGACACAGTCTCATTCTCATCAGGGTATCATGGGGACTGGAGCCAAAAGACTGTGTCAACTGGAGGGCCAAGCTGGTTCATAGAACCCAAAATATATAGGGAGATTACTTCTTAACTGGTTACATTGTTTCAAGTCAGCTCAGAGGACTTCCGTACAAACACTGTACTTCCTACGGAACCCCATAAAATAAGACCTGGTAGAGCACCAGGACCTTCTGAAAATGACTGTGAAAGTTAAATTCTGGGGTGTGCAGAAGGCATGCCACCTACTTGTACCCAGGTGACAAACTCACTGCTGACTTGCTCTGTGGTATTTGCCAGGTTCAAAATAGGCGGCTCATGCCAATTCCCCGCATCCTTCTAAGACTCATCAGACTACATATGGCAAGAGAAGAGTCGGCCATATTGCTTCTCTTTGAAACTTGCCTCCAACCTGCCGAGCTCCCATATGCAGATCACTAAATCCTAGAAGGCTAGGGAGGAACTGGCACCGAGTCTCATGTAACTTCACTCCCTTTACAAGAGAAGAGTTAAGTTTAGCTACCCTGCTGGAATGGCACAAGCGCTTTCTGAACACTAACACCTGAGGGCAGAGATCTAATAGCACAGATGATACAGCCCAGAGCCACTGCTCTCACATCGAGGTCAAAGGAATATAATGCCCTTGCTGTAATTAAGGTGACTGAAAAAAACAGCAGAGAGAGTGCCCCCATCACCACAGGTGGACGGGGGTAAGTGATTCAGGAAGACCACCAAATGACAGCCAACCCAGGCATTAAGTAAAGCATAAGCCAGAGCGTGCGATTACTATTAAAGGTCTGCCATTTACTGAACACCTGTCATGCAAAGGTCACTACGTTAGGCACCTGTATTTCTACCCACAATACTATGAGACGAGATTCGATCAGCCTCACCTTATGGCGTGGGGAAGAGCTTGACGAAGGTCACACGGCCAACATAAGGTGGAGCCAGAACTCTGATCCGAGATCTCAAAACCTACTCTCCTCCCCGCGCTCTCCTCTGGAGGTCTGAGACCTACGTAGTCACTAGAGCACCCAACCAGGGCCCTCAGGGTCCCCAAGGATTATTATCCAGTCCCTTGGGTTTCATACCTCCAGTCAGTTCCATTGTTAGCTTTTCATTTTCAATCATTTTCTTCTTTTCTTCTAGTTCAGCAATTAGGTTCTCTTTCAGCTCAACCTTCTTGTCTTCAAATTCTTTCACTGCTGCCTTCTTTTCCTTAATGTAATTTCTTTCCACTTGCTCGGTCTGAGTAAAAGAGAAACACAGGCTAGGGGGGACACAGCCAGGCATCCAGGGCTCCAACTGGAAGTCCAGCTCTGTCCTCAACAGCAAAGAAAACCCCTTCCCCAGAAATACAAGTGGTATCTCGTGTCAGTGAGATACACGAGAGCAAAGGGGGTCTGAGGGCAAGGCCTGGGGAGGGGGGAGGGAGGACACAAGACCACCACTCGCATGTCAGTATCCACACTTGCTATGAGGTAACTCCCCTCTCTCACGCCTCAAATTTTATAGCTTTTATGTTAATACAACATAAGTTTCTCAAGGACAGTACATAATCCCTTTTAAAGTCATAATTTTAAGGAAAATAGCTACTTCATTTGGAATAAACTATCTTGAAAATTACTTACACAATATAATGGCCTGATGACACAAACTAGTAACAACAAACGTGGACGAGGATGCGAGAAAAGGGAGTATGCATACACTGTTAGTGGGACTGCAAGCTAGTTTCGACTCTTACAGTGAGAAATGAACAAGTACAGTAGATCATTGATTAGGAGCCTGAATCCTGCAGGATTCAGAGATGTTGAGATAAAAATTGCAGGGCTGGGGCCAGGGCTCAGCGGTAGAGCACTTGCCTAGCATGTGTGAGGCACTGGGCTCGATTCTCAGCACCACATATAAACAAATAAAATAAAGGTCCATCGACAACTAAAAGTAAAATTAAGAAAAATTGTGTAAGCAGTCACTTTTACTATCTCACCACTGTGCTGTGACAAGGGGCCTGCAGGGGGCATGGTCTGGGCTGTGTGATCCTCTAGGCTGTGGCCGCATGCGCTGAATTGACTTCATTACTACAATGGTTTCCAGTAATACAGCTCTGATAAACCGTGACCTTCTCCAAAGCACCCCCCACCAGCAGCAGCACAACATCCGAGACCCAGACTCATCCTGAACACAGCACTGTGCCTGACGTGGCGGCAGCACTGGGGTCTCTGTGGAGTGAAAGAAAACATTCAAAATGTTTCCTATTGGCCCAGAAAGTTTCAGCTGTATGTGGAACTGTTGAGCCAATTCAGAAGCTGCACTGAGGACCAATAACAAATTATTCGTCCACCACAACTCAGACATACTCTCAAAGGGCTTTGGCACAAGCTAAAAGCCAGCAAAAAAGCAGTGGAATGTGAGTGTCCCCAGTTCCCTGTGATGCACAGAGGCTGCCCAACAACAAAGAATAGACGGAACATCTTAATCAGGATCACATGTCCTTCGGTCAAACCGAACGGTGGCAAAGGCTTCCAAGCCATCTACTTGGTGACAGAAGGAAAGGCCACCAGATCAGCAGAGTCAAATTCCAGTCTCAGACTACAAACCCGGATCCTGTGGTACTCACTTCCAGCTGGAGGAAGAGTTCTGAAAGAGATAAAAACTGCAATTAGATTCCCGAGGCTGTGTCACCTTTTTAGACAGGGATGTTGGATTCATTTAGAAGCAGTAATTGCTTTCTGAAAGCAAATTACACAAAGCAAATGTTTTCATCAGTAAAGTGCTGATATACATGAAGGGAAGACGCAAGCAGCACCCGTGTCGCGTCAAAATGTGGCCCTCAACAGAAATAGCTCTGGCAGCTCTGCCTGAGGGCCAAAGCCAGCTGTGGAACCAAATTGCTAAATAAGCCACTCCTCCCTCCACTCAGCCCTCCCCGTCCCTCAGTCCCAGAGACTGCAGGACAGGCCAGGAAGAAGCAACACGAAGACTCCTGGACAGAGTCCACGCCCATGGTCCCACGGGGTGTGAAGCTCTCTGTGACAAGGGGAATCCAGACAACAGAGGTTCTTGGGCTTTCTGGGACTTTACTCTCAGGCCTCTACACTCTGCCCACACCAATGCCTCTGTCAACGATACCACCAGGCCTCCCCAGTCACATTCCCCAGCTCTGATCTAAGGCAGCCCTTTCACTCATCAAGCCTCCAGCAGACACACTCAAGGTACCCCCAGCAGTATCCAGTGACTTACTCAGCACCTGTCTGCGGGCGGTAGTAATCGTCTACCCAGCAGCCTATCCCCCGTAAGCCCCTCTACAAACCCCTTACTTTAAACAAAATAGGTCTTTGGCCTCTGAACTTTTCTGGGTGACAGTGGACCTGCTACATATGGTCCACAAGGACTGCTGGAGGACCAGTAACTCCAGGGCTGCCGTCTTCCGTTTAAAATGGTCCCCTTTGCAAACCTGATATACCCTATAGATCCATTCTCAAGAAAAAAAGCACACTCGTACATGTTCTAGAATTTTCAGAGTTCCAGGAACCCCAGACTAAAAGCCCCAACCTGTTAAATGGAAACAATTAACTGAGGAAAGAGACAGGCCATTTGTTGTTTTCTGACCCCCAGAAGTCCTTATTACTTTGGCCCTGGGAGTCACTGGGCGCCGCAGCTCAAGCACACCTAGCCCAACATGCTCACTCCTATGCCTGCTTCGGACTGAATGGACCAGACATTTCCAAGTCCTGGGCCACCCGAGAAATCAAACCTGAACCAAGTCAAATAACACTTAACACTTAAAAGTTGGTGGTGCTTGTTTTAAAGCAGCCAGACACCAGACACAACGAAAGCAGGTGGATTTTTCTCTGCATGCAATGTGCTTTTTAAAGCTCAAGTCATGACTGATTTAGGAACTCTTCTGCACGTTCACCTGGGAGGAAGAGATGTTTACGAAATAACACAAGGACAGCACTGAGAGTCGGCATGAATTAAGAAAAACAACTCAATACTCACCCTGCTGTTCCAGCTTAGGAAAAATGGCTCACTTCAATTTTCTTTCCTTTATTTACATCCTAAGCCAATTCTCTGGGCAATCCGTACTCCCCTCTACAGACAGGGAAACTGAGGCTTCAAGAACCAATAACCTGTTTAAAGGCACTGACCCAGCGTGATGAGGGTAGGCCTGAACGTAGGCCCTTCTCCTTCCACAATGCCACCTCCTCCATCTGTAAAGGGGAGCCCTAGGAAGACGGCTTTCGATTCTAATGCTATCCCAAGGAGGCGCCTGGGAACTCAGAGTGGACAGCGCCAGCAGCGGGGACAGGCAGGATGTGGGTGGGCAGAGGGCTAATGGCTGCAGCTCCATTTTCACAGCACCCACCCCCTTCTGCTCCCTTCCTATTTGCTGATGCACACCGCACACTTCTTGCTAGGTGGAGAGGACAAAGGTTTCCACAACAGGAAGCTTGAAAGTCACTGGATGGAACTCAACAGGAAAGCACAAGGAGTGGCACTCAGACCTTTTTTTTAAAACCCAAAACTACTTCTCCCACGACAGGAACAAACACCTGCTGGCACTCAGAATGCTGGCTGGTGACGCACTTTAAAATTTAACACACACAAAAAAATTTCCTGTAAGCTCAAGAATTGTTCATACAATTTAGAACAGTTGTCGCATCTTACTTTCTGCACGATTCTTTATTCCTTAACTACTCGTGTGAATAGCTTTTGTCAATGAAACAGCAGGTTCCCTAAGTCAAGGACAATGTGTTACAACTTCATGCTGCTCAAGGTGCTCCCATGCAGATGTCCAACAGACAGGCTGAGTGAGTACACTTGCCACGTCCAACAGACCGAAAGCAAGCTCCTCCTCCTAAATGCTTAGGATATTTGGGGAAATAACAAGAGGACACCTCCCCACCCCAAAGCACAGAACTCCAGAAGAAACATTTAAGTGGGTATGAAATGACCCACAATCCTTTCCCCTCTGACTGTCTGTTAAGTCAGCCACAGAAATAAATGCGAAAAAGTGCAAGACTACTCTTGGGGCACCCGGGAGAGCCACTTGACTACAGGAAGCCACCGACTGATTCCTGTGACTACTGGCAAAAAAGGTGAACCAATTTTATAGAGTCTCTCCACCCCCATCCTGTCCCAGCAGTGAAATGTCTAGGATACATATGGAAGATGCCCTCGGGGCCACATGGCGGGGATGAAGAGGTGTGAATCTGCAGAGCCTCACCTGCGTTTCGGATCCTCTCTTTGTACTGCTGATCCAGCTTTCTCATTCTCTTCTGATACTCCTGCAACGTTCCTGATGGCCATTTATAAAGCAGAAAGTGATTTTAAAGATCAATCTACTCTAAATTTTGTCTCTTAAAATTATTTTCTCACACCAATCGTGACGGTTTTAATTCCCAAGAAAGCCACAGCTGAGCAGAGCTAACTGGCTTCTGGTCCTCAGCTAAGGCACACAGCAGGCCCTGCCGGGGGCCTAAGCACAGAGCCCCACCTCGGTACATCGAAACTCCTAGTGAACCAAGTGCACTGGCGGCAGCCTGGAATCCCAACAACTCCGGAGACTGAGGCAAAAGAATCAAAAGTTCAAGGCCCACCTGGGCAACTTAGCAAGAATCTGTCTCAAAACAGAAAATATGAAAAGGGCTGGGGATGCAGCTCAGTGGCAAAGTGCCCCTGAGTTCAAGCTGTGGTGTGGTACCAAAAATAAACACAACTCTGAAGTGAAGGCGGGGGTGGGGGGGGGGGGGACTGGAAGTGTGCAAACACTCCACCACGTGATTCTTGTCACTTGCTCCTATAGTCCAAGGCGATAGACCTCCCTTTCCTGGAAAAAGTACCTTCTGCAATAGGGTCCAGGCCGAGGCTGTCCAGCAGAATTTTCTGAAATGGTACAAATGTACTATATTTGTACCATCCGCTGGGTAGCAGCTAGCTCCATGTGGCTCTAGTAGCACTTAAAATATGGCCAATGCCACTGAGAAACCAGATTATCAACTTAATTAAATGCAAAAAGCCACGTGTGGCTAGTGACAATACCAAAAGGCTTCTGAAAATCTCGCTCATTCAGTATTCTTCTCCAAAGCAACTCATTATCAGGATCCCAAATTTGTGGGGAAGTGTCTCCTGATCCTAACACCTGCTCACAGGCTAGTCCAGGTGAGTGTACCCCCCCAGCAATGAAGTGCCTAGTGGAAGGGCTGGGATGCAGCTCCGCGGGAGAACACTTGCCTAGCATGCCTGAGGTATTGGGTTCAATCCCCAGCACTGCGGGGTGGGGAGTGGCAGTATCACTGACAGGGGACAGCCCAACAGAAAATCAGAGAGTGAATGGCAACAGCGCACCATGCCCAGGTCCTCATGCTGCATCCAACATTCCACACGCTCCCTCTCGTTTTCATTTCGCAGATTAGAAAACAGATTGAGAGAGAGAAAGGGCCATGCCCACTTGTAATTCAACAAACAAAACAGAAAACAGCATGGCTGATCCACAGTCCATTGATGCTTTGTCTAGAAGAGGAATAAAACTTCATTCTTTGATAACATCTCCCTCAAAAACACACAGCCTGAGGCACAGAGGTTTTCAAATTGTGCCCTACAGACAGCCCCAAATGAGAGTTCACTTGAAGAAATTGCTACATGTTGAAAATAAATTTAAAATAAAATTTGAAAAATCAACCCTTTACTGATAAAAGAGAGCAACATGTGTACTGATTAAAATCAGTCAGACTAGGGGCTGGAGTTGTAGCTCAGTAATAGAGCGTTTGCATAGCACATGAGAGGCACTGGGCTCCATCCTCAGCACCCACACAAATAAATGGAACAAAGGTATTGTGTCCATCTACAACTAAAAAAATTAAAATAAAAAAAAAATCAAATTAAATTTCAATCATTCCCACAAAGAAGTAAAATAGATTTCAAGGGTGTGTAACACTAAGAATGTTTAGGAGTAAAAAAGCTGGTCACCAACCTTCCTGCAGCTGTTGCAGCTGCCTCTTGAGAGAAGCCAGTTTGTCCTGATACATCCTGAAAAAAAGAAAAGCCACGCTGAAAGACAAACACTCAGTACTCTATTCCGAAACATTCTACACACAGGAACTGCCTAGCTTGTTGGATTTAGCAGAAGGAACACACCCATAACGAGGACATATAAATGGCATTAAACACAACTCTTACATCAGCTCTGTAATTAGACTCTAAATGGCAAAGGAGTGAGTCTATGCCCCCAGCCTGTCTTTCCATACAGACAGCATAGCTGTCTGAGCACAAGTCAATAAACCTTCATATGATTGCTGAAAGCACTCCTCTTTCAGGATCAGAAAAATAATAGACATTCAGAAACAAAAGTTAAAACGCAAGATTTACTTGCAGCCCCAGCTGCGTGAGAGCACACAACAGCACAAGAACACGGCATGGTATTTTTTGCCTCCCATACCCAGTGGATTAAAGGCAATTACACACTCTGGCAAGTCTGCCTGAACCGTGGATTCTACACATAAATTACATTTTGACAATATTTTTGCTTCTACCTGAAAAACACCTCCCATTTCTCAGTGACAAAAACAGGATCTGCAACCCCCCCCCCCCAAAAAATACTGTCCAACATATAAAAAAGGTGCAACAAGCTTTTTTTTTTGGTGTGTGTGTGTGTGTGTGTGTGTGTGTGTGTGTGTCGGCGGTGGCAGTACTAAGGATGGAACCCAGGACCTTGCATGTGCTAGGCAAGTGTTCTACACTGAGCTACAGCTACAGCCCCCCTTTTCATTTTATTTTGAGACATGGTCTCACTTACTTATCCAGGTTGGCCTTGAACTTGCCATCCTCCTGCCCCAACACCCTCCCCCAGTAGCTGGGATGACAGACACCACCAAACCCAGCACAATGGCCCTTTAATTGCTCAAATAACCAATTCTCTGTAGGTGGAGGAAAGGATAGGAAGAATCTGAGAACCCCACAGAAGGTCTGCCCTTTACTGCAAATTCAGAAGTACTCCTCAGGCTCACCTTAAATCACAGAAAGCAACCAATTTTAATCAAAATTATTTTTTATCTCACTAAATATTAAGGAGGCACTTTCAATCAAAAGATTGTCTCTAAAATTGATGCTCAAAAACATCAAGTACAGGAGGGGTGTATGAGCCACACATGAGAAGTCAATATTTGGAACCCAGGGCATTCAATTTTCTACCACATGGAGGGTGCCAGCTGGTACCCATGTCTGAGTATGTCTTTGAAAGGGAATACTAGCAGATTGAAGAAGGAAATAGAAAAAAGAAAATCAGATTCACTGAGATCATGTACAGGGAAAGGGACAGATGTATAAGAATACATCTCGAACAGGTCAAGTAAAAAGCTTGCAAAGAAAAAACCTAGCAAAAAAAAAAAAAAACGGGGGGGGGGGCGGGCGGAGCTGGGATTGTGACTCAGCAGCAGCAGAGTGCTCGCCTAGCACGCACAGGACCCAGGTTCGATTCTCGGCACCACATAAAAAAATAAAAATAAAAAGGCATTGTGTAAAAAAAAGAAAAAAAAAAAAAAGCAGTTTCAGGGATGAAACTGTGAGAAAGAGCACACAGGGACTGGGGATGTGGCTCAGGTGGTAGAGTGCTTTTGCCTCACATGCACAAGGCCCTGGGTTCAATCCCCAGCACCACAAAAAAAGTAAGTCCAAGAGCACGTGAATTTTTAATCCTTCATTCAACACCAGTCAGACCTAGCTGAATTACCCCTTTCAGGTTCCAAAGCTTGAAAAGGATGACAGAATCCAGAGGATGGCCACAAACATTTGCACACAGGACTGAAAAGGGGAAGAATGTGGATAATCTAGTTTAAAAATAAAGATTTTTAAAAGTTACATCAAGATCCTTAAAATATCTCCAATAAATACTTATCGAGCATGTATCTTGATACTGTCTTCTGTATGATAAAAACAAGTAGGAGGCCTAGGGGTGCAGGCCTGCAATCCCAGCTACTCAGAAGGCTGAGGCAGGAGAGTCACTTGAGCCCAAGAATGGGGGGGAGGGGTGGCGGGTTTGTCTGGCTAGGTGGCGGCAGGGTTTGGTGAGGATGACAAAGACCTGTGTGAACATGCACAGGGCAGAGGGACAGTCAGCAGCAGCCTGCTCTGCAATCCAGTATCCTTGGGCCCACAGAGTTGGCCCTCATGGTTCACATCCATTTGAGAAGACAGTTGTTTTGAGACACCTCTCTGAACATTAGCTTTCACATCTAAAAAAAAAAAAGCCATGGTAAAATATGGCCTTATTTCATCCCCTGTGATCACCTCCACCAAGGTTCCTTTGAGACTACCCTTCAAGAGCATCTTAGGAAAACTAATTAAATTTGATTAATTTAGAGGTAAAAAATTACATATATACACAGGCTTTGAAAGCACTAATGTCAAAACCATGTATACATGGCAGCTATAAAAATTTTTCTTATCAATTCTACATTTCAGAAAAGAAATAAATACAAAAATCATACTCACTGTTCCTTCATTTCTACATAGTCTTCTTCATCGTGCTTTGCCAGGTCAGTTTCACTAGCATCCTCAGTGTCTGAGTAATATTAAGGAAAAGGGGTTACATAAAAATCATAATTCATAGACTTGGTATCACCTGACAATATAAGTACTTAATAAGTTTCTGTAAAATGAATTTCTTCTCAAGGCAGGCCTGCATGAGCAGTCAGTGAAAAAGACAACATATTGTTAAGACAGGAAAGAAAATGCCATTTCTAACTTACACACACTGAGTCATATTTACACAGAGAGCTTGCCTTTACCTGAAATGCAGCCTGAGAAGAGGGTGCATCAGACACAGGCAGTCATGATCAAGGCTGCTGCTCTGCAGAAGCAACAACACTGGCAGTTCAGGAAAGGAGGTGTAAGCTAAGGCTGGACACGGTAGGCAGTCAAGCCCTACTCGCTGTCAAGAAAAACTCAGTGGGGCTGGGACGAGGCTAGGTGGGAAAGTGCTTGTATAGCATGCACAAGGCCCTGGGTTTGATTCCCCAGCACACAAAAAGAAAAAAAAAGAAATCCTAGCATACACATTCTCTTCTGATACTTGCTCATTTTTAACCCCCTCTAACATTTTACACTAAAAATATACAATAAAAAAAGAGAATGCCCCCCAAACAAATTGAATTCTAAGAACTGAAGTGCAAAGTTACAATCAAAGGAAGAAGGACAGAGGCAAGAATATAAAACAAAAACATTTTAAAACACCGTTCTTAGAACAAGCAAATGGCTGGAGTACCTACATAATTTTCACAGCCCCTTATACTTCAAGGAGGAAAAAAAAATAAAATTTAGCTTCATCACTCCCCCTGGTGGGTATTAAAAGCATTACATGTATTTCACATTATAAATCTGGTTCAGTCTTGCCTTGGAATGTGGTAGAACCAAATGTAAGTTTCTTCAACTTTATTTCCCCTATATGCAGCTGCCTTTGAGAGGCTGTTGCAGATCCAATTCTCCACAAACCCTTCTCCCTTCCTTCAGCGGAAGAGACCTTCACCTGTCATGTGCCAGCCTGCCACATTATTTGGCACTGGGGAGACTGAGATGATTAAAACAGACTTCATTCCAGACAGCTGGTCTAGCTCTTGCTTTTACGGCCCTATTTTGTGCCAGAATATTCCACCGGTTCATCAGTCTCTATCTCCTCTTTCTTGCTTGCCCTTTTTACATTTCTTCACCTATCTCCTCCTGCAGACAGTTTCCTTCCTCAATGCCTCCAAAACAGTTTTGCTCACACTTGCCAATAGGTAAAGCCCAATTTGAAAAGCAAGGCTGAGAGGCAGTAAATGATAATATAAAGAGCATGGAACCGAAAATACGTCTGGGCGCCATAAAGTAAATCCCTACCTCCTCCTGTGCCTGTTTTTCCAGTGGTGACCGGCCAAGTACTTGATGCACATTATCTCATTTAATCCTCACACCTTCCCTAAGAAAGGGGGACGACTAGGGACACCATTGCAGTTGGTTCGAGTTGTGTACGGTTACGAAGCTGGTTTAAATGACAGCCAAATTCAAACCTAGGCTACCCGATTGCTGGTCCCGTCCTTTTAACCTGTATTCTCCATCGCGCGCTGTACCACGTAAATAAAGCTCATTTAAAGCATTTCAGGGGACTTGGGACCCAAGAAGCCAAACGGGCCTCCACTCTGATCCTCGGGGCGGGCGGGGGGAGTACTACTCGAGGAACTCAGTGGATGACTTTCCCATTCCAACCCGCGAAGACTCTGAGGTTCAATCAAAGACGGTTGGGCTGGGGGGCGGGGGGCTTGTCTTAAAGGGACCTGCAGCTCACACCACCTCCAGCCCCCTCCTCCCATGATAGAGGGTACGACGCACCCCGGGCTGCCCCGCTCCCCCCGGGAGGCCCCTCCAGCCAGCCCCAAGCCCCGGAGGCCGCCCCGCCCCTCTCCCGTGCAGCTCCACCCCAGCCCACCGCCGTCTGGCGACCTAGAGGACGCACCTTCGTCAGACTCGCGGCCCCGACAGCTGCGCTCGTCGTCCTCGGCGCTCTCCAGCTCCTCGTCCTCCTCTGGGTAGTACTCCGGGGCCGGCGGCGCTCCAGCCGGGGCCGGAGCCGGAGCCAACAGCCCCGCAGCACTCATGTCGTCTTTAGCCGCCGCTGAGCGTGCCCCCGGGAGATCACGGCCACCGGCTCTGGGGACTCCACGCCTGCCTAGCAGCGCCGGAGGGAACCCCTAACCCGAGGAGCTGAAGCCCGGGCAACCCCTTCCCCGTCTGCGCCGAGCTCCGCCCCCCCGCGCCCGCGCTCGGCAACGGGGGCCTCGCGCCGCAGGCGATTTCCGGGTCGCGAGCTGCCCGAAGACGGCCTGACTCCGCCATCCTTGAGAGGGTGGGGAGGACGCCGGACGCCCCTTTTGCAGGAATCCCAGCCCCTTCATCGCCGACTTAAAATCATCAGCGGGCAGTGGAGGAGGGGCGGAGACCGGCTCTCTGGAGTTAGGCAAATCTACGGACAGCCCTACCCGCAGCCAGGACCCCGAGTCTCCACCGAGACTTCCGGAAACATCTGCCAGGCGGCGCCCGGAGCCAAACCTAAAACGAGGATAGTAAGCGACCTGAGGGGCGGAAGGTTTGCCCCGCCTTGGGCAGGTGGAAGTGGACTCTGATTTTAGCAGGTGAACCACATGCATATCCTCTTAATAGTCTGGAATCTGGACGGCCAGAGTGTGCGTTATCTTACAGGGGGCGTGGTGGGGGGAGCCTGGCTCCTCCCCTAAATGAAGAACTGAAATAAAGACAAGGATGCTGAGATTCCGTCCTGGGTCCGCAAAACCGTACTTTCCCAGTCCTTGGGAATCCTTTCTGTTGCACAGCTTGACTCCACACGGTCTTTTCCTGATTCTACGAATGGCGAGAGGAGCTGTCATTTGTCTTAAGGGGAAGAAAATGGCAGCGTCCAGTGTGCTTGATTTATTTTTATTTTTATTTTTTTTTTTTAATTTTTTATTGTGGGTTGTTCAAAACATTACAAATTTCTTGACATATCATATTCCACACTTTGATTCTAGTGGGTTATGAACTCCCACCTTCACCCCATACACAGATTGCAGATTCACATCAGTTACACATCCATTGATTTACAAATTGCCATACTAGTGTCTGTTGTGCTCCGCTGCCTTTCCCATCATCCACCCTCCCCCCTCCCCACCTCTCCCCTCCCCTCCCCTCCTCTCTCTCTACCCCCTCCACTGTATAACCCTGAGGGTCTCCTTCCATTACCGTGCAATTTACCTTCTCTCTCCCTTTCCCTCCCACCTCTCATCCCTGTTAAATGTTAATCTTCTTCTCCTGTTCTTCGTCCCTACTCTGTTCTTAGTTACTTTCCTTATATCAAAGAAGACATTTGGCATTTGTTTTTTAGGGATTGGCTAGCTTCACTTAGCATAATCTGCTCTAATGCCATCCATTTCCCTGTAAATTCTATGATTTTGTCATTTTTTAATGCAGAGTAATACTCCATTGTGTATAAATGCCACATTTTTTTTATCCATTCGTCTATTGAAGGGCATCTAGGTTGGTTCCACAGTCTTGCTATTGTGAACTGTGCTGCTATGAACATCGATGTAGCAGTGTCCCTGTAGCATGCTCTTTTTAGGTCTTTAGGGAATAGACCAAGAAGGGGAATAGCTGGGTCAAATGGTGGCTCCATTCCCAGCTTTCCAAGAAATCTCCATACTGCTTTCCAAATTGGCTGCACCAATCTGCAGTCCCACCAGCAATGTACAAGTGTACCCTTTTCCCCACATCCTCGCCAGCACTTGTTGTTGTTTGACTTCCTAATGGCTGCCAATCTTACTGGAGTGAGATGGTATCTTAGGGTGGTTTTGATTTGCATTTCTCTGACAGCTAGAGATGTTGAGCATTTTTTCATGTACTTGTTGATTGACTGTATGTCCTCCTCTGTGAAGTGTCTGTTCAGGTCCTTGGCCCATTTGTTGATTGGGTTGTTTGTTCTCTTATTGTCTAATTTTTTGAGTTCTTTGTATACTCTGGATATTAGGGCTCTATCGGAAGTGTGAGGAGTAAAGATTTGTTCCCAGGATGTAGGCTCCCTATTTACCTCTCTTATTGTTTCTTTTGCTGAGAAAAAACTTCTTAGTTTGAGTAAGTCCCATTTGTTGATTCTAGTTATTAACTTTTGTCAGTGTGCTTGATTTATAAAGACCACCAGACCCATGCTTCTGCCTCATGTTTCCTTGAATATTAATGTTTAGAAACCGTTTTTGCACCAGTCCAGTAGCTTACTAACCGAATCTCAACTGAATGAGCAGAGCATTTGCCTACAGGAAGCAATTTGGCTAAAACTCTGGGGTAAAAAGCTGAGTATCTGCATGAGTTAATTTGTGTGATTCCCTCTGACTAGAAGGGGAAGACAGTGTAGCAAATTTTGCTTAGCAAGCGAATTTAGGGTATCCCTTATGCTGATAACAGCGTGGTCTAGTTGTCTGTGACAAGAAACAAAAATAAAGAAAAGTGCCCAGAGGTGTTTAATGGTCTGTCCAAAGTAACCTCATTCTATTTTAGATACAAGTCTTAATAGAAAAAGTAATAAGTAATAAAACCAAACATAGATGTGAAAACCAGGGTGGAGCCTAACATAGCATTCTGATACTTAGAACCCGTGTGATCACAATTTATATCTAAATTGGCCCCCAGAGCCTTCTAAAAATGTATAATTTTATTCTCCTACCATTTATTTTGATGTTTCTTATTTACTACCTTGTTTTAATTAAAATCTTGGCTCTCTCTGTAAGGGATAATTCCTCCCAACAAAATATAAGAATTTGCAGAATGGAATGCTGAGAAGTCTTTCCAGGAGTTCAGCAATCTTCTGAAGGTCCTTCTCAATAAGAGGCATTCTCAGCTCACTGTAGGTCTGCTGTCTATATTTAAACTAGAATTTCAGGACTGTCTCTTGTCCAAAATATGAAGTCATTTTCCTTCTCTTTTTTTTTTCCTTTTTCCAAATTTTTTGGATCACATCTAAAGTATTTGTAATCAACTACATGGAGCAACTAGAGTTCCTATCAGTAACAATATTCATAAAGCAAAAAAGGTCCACCATGTTAGAAATCAGAGTTCATTGATATAATGAATCAGAAAATAGTTGATTTCATTGTTGAATGTTGACTGGTTTTTTTCCTTCCAGTCAGGTGCAGTGGCACATTCCTATAATTCCAGTGACTGGGGCGGCTGAGGCTGGAGGATTGCGAGTTCAAAGCCAGCCTCAGCAACTTAATGAGGCCCTAAGCAACTAAGTTCATGAGACCTTGTCTCAAAATAAAAAATAAAAAGGGCTGGGGATTTAGTTCAGTGGTAAAGTGCTGCTGGGTTCAATCCCCAGCTCCTGGGGGGGGGGGGGGAGAAAGAGAGAGAGACAGGGGTTTTTCTTGTTTTTGTCCAGAGAGAGACTGGGGTTTTGTCTTGTGTTTTGTCTTCTTGGTTGCAAACAGCATCTGTTAATAGTCATGCATTTTTTATATGTAATGCAAAGACACAACTAAACTGTTGGGTGGTGAACATTTACCCCATTTTTTCTATTCATCCAACTGCAAAACTGATGGGCTGAGCTCTTAGCTAATAAATGCTCTTTGGTGAAGGGAGAACCTACTCAAAAAAATTCAGCTTTAGTCTTACCCATCCTTTATGGTGGTTTAATATGATTTTGTTCAGTCTTTATGCCTGTAAAAATCAAATTATGTCAAAATCAAGTTTGCCACATGAAATCTTCTACTGCATCTGTTCCCAAAGTGGTACTGGGCCACACAGCTCTGGAAATATCTGGTCCAGAACCTGACTGAAGCAAAAGTCCTGCCAGCCCCACTTTGGAATTTAAAATGCCAAATTGTCAAAGTCCATTAACTTACTCTGGGTGGGTAAGGAAAGCAGTTTTCAGTGCCCAGTCCTGATTTAATCAACATATCCAGTTTCACAAAAATGTAAGAATGGCCCTGAGTAGCATGGCGCCCTTTCAACCCTGGCACTTTCAGCTTGGGTCAAGATGGGTCTCTGATTATCACAGGTTGCACTTGGGTCAAAGCTCGTTATCCTTTGGCCATAGATTCACACAGAATCATTAAAACCTGTGACCCTGAGAAAAAGGTTATGTTGAATATGCTTGCTGAAATCTTGCTGAGCTAACAAGGGTGCCCATGCCACAGTTCCTAGTTCTACTGTCATCAAAACCCACAAACTGTTTATTTCCTTTTTTTTCCCTTGAACCTATCAAAGTGTGCCCCGTTCCCGTTGAACGTTCAGTGTGCACAGAACGCACCTAGTACATAGCTTTTTCCCAAACAGCATTAAACTGACGTCTGCTGAACGCAGTACAAGGAATGGCAACTCCCTGTCAAGAGATCCAGGAAATATTTACAAGACCTAAGCGAATAAATGGTGCACAAATTGAGGGCAGAATGACTAAGAAATCCGCTCAAGGTCTAGCGAGAGAAGGGCGTCCTCTCCCGACGCTCTCACGTGGTGGTCTCCTGGAGTCTCCCAAAACAGTGCAGGCGTGGGGAGGAGGGCCATGAACTTTGACCCGAGCGCAGCACAAACAAGACGGACCGCGCCCCAGGCGGGCCCGCGGGTAACTAAAGTTGCAAGGTCTTCCGAGTCCGAGGAAGCCCCGCCCCTCCCCGTCCGGCCCCCCGTCGACTCTGCCAATCCTCGGGCCCCATCGACCACTCGGCTTCCCAGGCACTTCCAATCAAATGACTATATCCAGCCTCGGCCCGGTGCTCCGCGATCAGGGAAGGTCAGTAGAGAGCCTATCGGAGGCGAGTGGGGGCGTGGTCAGGGGCAGGGGGCGGGCAGACTAAGGAGGTGGGGCGGAGCGCGCTCGGCGCAGTCGGGTGCGATTGGCCACCCCTGGCAGGAGCCGCACCTCGGACAGCAGCAGCGGCGGCCGCGGGAGGGTTGGTGTGGCGCGGGGCGGTGGGGTCCTGTGTGGAGAGTGGGGCGCGACTCCGAGACCGCGGGCGGAGGCTGCGCACAGCCGGATCCGGCACCCATAGACGCGACCCGTGGGTCCGCCAGGGTTCAAGCCGCAGGAGAGCGACTCGGGAACAAGTGTGCGAGAGGAAGCGGCGGTGGCGACGCCGGGCCCGGGGTGGTGACAGCAGGTCTAAGGTGAGAGTCCCCGGGTGCCGAGTGGTGACAACGTGAGCCCAGGCGTGGGGACCCTGGGAGGAGTGAGGTCGGGGGGGACCCGACCGAGGGGAGTTCCGGGAGAGGGTTGACAGTGCGGTC